GCTGCAGGACATTAGCCTGCGTACTGCGTAACCTTCCCTCGCCCTGAAGAAGAAGTGATCCTTCCTAGTGCCTGACGAGTTTTAAGCTAATAGCCTATAAAGTTATGGATATTAGAAAGTTATTTTCATCGAAGCAGGCGCCACAAGCTGCAGCAGCAGCAGCAGCAGTATCAGCAGCTGAGAAATTGATGTTTCAGGTTTGTGAATCTAATGGTGATATTTGCACTCTGGCTGACTGAGTAAGAAGTGAAAAAGAGTGATGTAACATTAATGTTATAGCTAGTAAACATGGAGTATTGAGTAACCACACTAAGTATACCCTTATATGTTAGTATGTATACAGAACATGACTAAAAATGATCCTAAGATGTAACGTTAACCCTTCATACCCCAGTCTACTTTTAATGGTGCGTTCACACCGGACGCGATGTGAATATTCGCTTCGCTCTCATCGCTCCTGTCGCATCGCTCTAAACGCTCGAGTTTCACCGCGGCTGCCAGCTGTGTTTACTCGCATCATTCAAACAAGCGCCGGCTCGGGAGCTACAACTACAACAAAATGAACATATTTTACCGTGATTAAATTGTAATACACGTTTCAAAATGATGCCGAAGTAACTAAATACTGATACCGGTTAGTAAAAACCATGAATTAATGCTTTGACAAGTCTGCAGACAGACGGCAGGAGAAAAACCTTTTTAAAATGCGTGTTTTCTGAATGGAGATTGGGTCGACCAGGCTAAGCTAACGTTGTATATGCTCATTCCACACTTATGAGTGTGGAATGAGCATATACAACGTTAGCTTAGCCTGGTCGACCCAATCTCCATTCAGAAAACACGCATTTTAAAAAGGTTTTTCTCCTGCCGTCTGTCTNTGTTGGTTTTGTGTTTCGCATAGAAGATGACGTCACGGCTCCGCCTACACTGCGTTACTATAGTTACTACCCCAGTTCCTAAACTGTAATGGAAACGCAGCATAAAGTGAGCCTGGCCTACCAAGGCCTAAATATACCGTACTAAGCTGTGCGAGGCCCTGCAGTGGAAATGCGCCATAAAACTACCACTTAGTTTAGCTAACTAACAGCCATATAAAGCATTAAGCATATGTGTTAGCCAGGGTGTTCACAAACCTTAGTTGACGTTTAATATTTTGTGACGTCGTTTGACAAACGCTTACGCAAGAACAGTAAGTCCCAAGACTGATGGTTTACCACTGTGTTGTTGGATCTTACAAGAGTGTGTTGATGAGACAGTTCCTGATTTATCTGTCTAAGAAATGCCATATTAGTGTCAGAATTTTTGAAAGATATGTGACTTGTGTGAAATTGGTTCAACTTTTACTTTGGAGAATATGGGAAAAAAGAATTGGACATATTCTGTGCTCATGTTTATGTCTCCGATTGAATTGAATAGACCTGTCAATATACTCCTAAGGGGGTCGGTCAGTCAGTCAGTGGTGAAAATCATTAATTTCAGTGCACTGTGTCCTTGCTGAACTATCTCTTATAAAATGTTTTTCTGTTGAAAATGATTTGCTTTCTCTTGTTTCTCTTACCTGGATCCACTAGTACCATGCGCTTGTCTTGTGTCAGGTTGCTGCGCTCCTCTTGGTTGAACGTCCTGTCAATCATCACCATTTCTGATGACGGACTGGAACGCTGTAGGGAAAGGAGAGGCAACTCGTGAGCCCTGTGCATGCCACAACATGATAAACCTGTTTTTGCAAGCATTTACTTGTGTGTGCCTACCTCCGCTTCCACCATAAGTAGCCGTCTGTATTTGTTAACCATAGCATGAGTCCTCTTCAGCACTTGGGTTGCAACTACTTCAAATTCTTCATCCACTATAAAAAAATAATAATAATAATTCAGGTACTTTTCATCCGCAAAAGCCACGCCTTGACATGCAATACTTCTGCAGATTTAGGGTGAAGCTAATAAATGCAAGGCTTTACCCTGTGAGAACTCCTCCTGGCTGGGTGGAGTTCCCTGGAACACGTGGTACGGGAGGATTTTCTGCAGTGCATCATCGATTGAATTGAATCGACGCAGATCTATAGTCTGAACTCCAGCATGATCATTCTTCAACTGTTGTAAAATCCTATAGAGACGAAAGGAAAAAGAAACAGGCTCATTCATTGGCTGAACTACAAGCTATACAAAAACATGGCAATATTTCCCACATAAACAAGTATGTAAATAGTACACAGTAAGTTCTATTCTCACATTTCTCCTCTTGTAAGTGGTGGAAGGGCAGGTCTCTTCTGAGCACTGATCTATTAGGAGAAAGAAAATGCATTTTGCAAAACAAATAGGGTGTCAGAAATGAGCATAGTGGAGGCGGCTAAAACAGCATTTCCTGCGATTTTTCGAATAAAAACGTAAAAGATTAATCGATTATCAAAATAATATTTCTGACGCTCGTTGCAGCTCCTGTGCATGATGGGATGAGCGACATACCTGAGAGTTCATATTTGAGTCTTGAGTCATTGTTGTCATGGCTGAAAGAGATAATTGAAAACAATTAAGAAACATTAAGTTTAGCAGATTACATTTTTATATATATATATATATATATATATCATGCATTGACAAAGATTTGTCTGCCTTTGTTACCATGGATGCTGCTGAGCTGCACCTGATTGAGGGCAGGTGATGAAGAATTCTAAAAAATAAAAATGAAAGGGATGTCTTTCATATAAGCATTTTCAGGAAACAGATTGTGAATGTGTAAAGAAAAACCACCGGTGATTATACCTGTCTGTAGTCTTCCTGTGTCCCAGTACTGGCTAAAGGTGACAGGGAAGTGAAATTCTGAGTTTGAGTGACCAGAAGGCGCTGAACGTGGCCCCCCTGCACTTGGCCTTGACCGCCGATCCCTGTCGTTGCTGGACCCACCAGAGTCAGCCGCCCGGTAGAGCACGACGTCTGCATGGGGGCTGGGTTCGCACAAGAAACCCCTGTCCATGTTTGAGTTACACCCCCTCCAACCTGACTCCTGCAGACTAATCCCTGGTTCAAAATGAGCTGTCCTCCCTGCTGTGGAGTAAAGTTCTGCCCCTGAACAATCTGCACAGCGTTCTGATTGGTAATCAGGGGGTTTGAGAACTGTCCAGGCTGTAAGTTTGTCTGGGCCTGCGCTTGCTGCTGCTCCAGTGATGGCTGCACTACGATAGAGCCATTGGCTGTGTATTGCCCCCCAGGAGAAGCCATGTTAGCGTTCACTACATTAGCCATGGTGGTGGAAGTGTGCTGAAGACCAAGGCTGTACACAGTCTGAGCCCCGGTTTGGAGGGGTTTAGGCTGGATGGGTCTAACAAGAGTCTGGGTCCCCCCCGGGCCTCTCTGGATGATGATGTTTTGAAGGGGGATGTTTTTGTAAGGTAGGCCCACCTGCCCTTGGGTAGGGGCGAACACCTGCCCCCCTGCTGTGGCCCCCCCTGACGCTACAGGCGCACCGGGCCTCAACACGAGCTGGGGAGATCTCTCCAAGTTGCTCAGAGTCATCACACCACTCCCCGCCCCGAACGAGCCCAACACCTGGATGTGCTGGGCGGAGCCGTTGGGCAGCGGGGACACCCCTTGTAGGAACTGGCCTGTTGGGAAAGCAGCTGTCGCCGTGGTTACAACTCCTCCGCCATAACCCCCCCCAGAAACCAGCTGGGAGGGGAAGGGTACCGGAGCCTGCACCAGAGTGGGGGCGGGCTGGGAGTCCAGTAAGGCCTCCTGAGCCAACGTCTGCTCTGTGATGTCGGCCTCCATAAGGGACTTCTGTAGGATGTCAAAGGGTTGGTCCTCGCTCCCAAGATCCACCCCTCCGGGAGAATTCCCAGGCCCCAATTCATCCTCGATAAATGAAAGGCTACCGGAGAGCTGGAGGCCTGCCCCTGTTGAATCCTCGCCGAAATCTCCCATTGTAGAAGAGCCATCCTTGAGGCCAGAGTTGGAGCCAGCCTGAATGAAGCATTTAGAGAAAATGAAAAGAGAGTTTGCATGTGAGCTGCATACAAGACAGACTTACTTGGAGGTCTTTTTTTATAACCTATACATAAAAGGGTAAACTATTGCATAACCTTTTTTTATGAAGGGTGAACAAATTTGAAGAAAAAAAAACAGTGGTTGTTGGATCAAAGTGCACTTACCGTGTCACTAGAAAAGAAGGACCCATCCGACCCGTAAGCTGCATTTGTTACATCATCCTCCTCAATCTGCAGAAACAGAATACACAGAGTTTAACAGAGGATCAGTGGATCCGTTATGCATCAAAGACAGTGATGTAATTACACTGACAAACATATTAAGGAATGGCTGTGAATACATTATGAAAGAGTCACTCACAGACTTGCTGTTGCTGCCATGGAGATAGTCATTCAAAGCATCCACATCTCTGAAGAATGTGCGGAAGGAAATTCAACATTAGAAACATTTATTTGTATTTACTGTTGTTTAAGGAGTGACAGCATGAACCATTATTAGAATGCCTGAATGGGACATAGGATTACCAACTTCCGTAATTTATCAAAAGTTAACAAGTAAGTTGGCAGATACTTGTAGCTTTGATTGTAAAGTGGGACCCTAGTAACAATAACTAACTGTTTAAGCCAAACTTGAGTACAGATAAATAATATGAGGCCACATTGTGAATGGCATGTTAATGACCAATATTAGTGTCTATTATTTTTATAAAAAGGGTTTTTTACCCTAAAATATCAAGAAGATGGCGATCGTCCTCATCATCCATGACACCTGAAAGAAGAGGAAGGTATATCGAGATAGAAAGGAGCAGGTTAAGAGAGGGCTGATATGAATTTTAGAGTAGGTAATTCATGACTGCTGGATTCATTGATCATGACAATAAACCTTAATGCACTTAGTTGTTATTCTGAAGTAGGAGCATATATTCTGTTTGTAGTAATCACATCTCACTCACAGATTTCCAGCAGGACGCATGGATTCAGTCATTTAACACCCTTTGTTTTCTGGGCTGCAGGGTGAGAAACTACATTTAGTATTACATAAATAAACGTGTGAGAAGCAGGTTGTGGGAACAACGTAGATGAGATTAAGGAAAATATAGGTTTGTGAAATGTGGGAGTGAAGAGGAAGCCAAATGTGTTATTCAGTGCTGTGGTAAATAGGCTATGTATTGTAAGCGAAGGGCAGGATGGCCTTCACCCCCTCCTACAGATGTTTGTCTCACACATAAAACTCCCACCCATTACCCTCCTCTGCTGTCCCACATTGGTTGTCTGCACAGACTGAAAATGACCATTAGAGTGTAAATAACTCCACCCTGCTGCTCCATTTATACCATGGTTGTTTGAGTTTCTACATAGAAAGAGGTGTTGGCTTTAAGTTGTGAGCCTGCAAAGATATGCAGCGATCTTAGTGCTTCATTATAAAAGAGGGACTGCAAGCCAAATCCATGATCACTAATTTGATGCAGCAGTGAGGGGTAATGAGTGTTTGAATATCTTATGAGGTTACGATTTTTAATTGTATTTAAGAAATGTGGAGCACATGACAAGGGAATGTAGCTATATGTCAGAAAAATAATTTGGTCATTCATCCAACAATGTACTAAGATGATTTGAATTCGTAGTTTTATGTTGTACTCTGTTAAGTCATTGAGAAATACACTCTTATGTTGCTGCGTAGATGAAACTGCAATGCCACAAAATGGCTGTTACCCTGCCATAGGCTGTCCTTACAACAGAGCCACGTTCAGCCTCCATCTTTGGTTCAGGGAGAACAAAGATCGACAGGGCTGCTGTGCAAACTAGGCTCTGCTAACTTACTTTTAGAGACCATGAAAACCACTAAACGCTTCCTCAATCATAGAATATTGTAATTCATTTAATATCCACACTAAATGTGCAACAATTTATTTTTCAGGAGATATGCTACAACATGCAGAGGGGCTCCTGTGTCCATTAAAAGTGCACACAAAGCTCCAAAAACGAGGAAGCAATGACGACCTTTCCCAACAAAAAAGGAAACCAAACGATTAACACAGTGACATTTTATTTCACAAAAAAAGCTCCATATGTGGATTGAGTAGGTCAAATACACTACAAAATAACACTACACTCATTTCTGTCATCTATCAATGTATTTAAAAAGCAAAGCAGTCGTTAATATACACGTAATCAATGTTAACAATTAAGTGAGCTACTTTTCACAACAGTTAAGCGGTTAGCTTACGTTATTTCATTTCTAAAAAGACGACAGAGCTAAAGTACTTAAGCTGACTAAAAAATGCGTTTTAAGTAGCTCAAAAGCAAAGGATTTGCAGACATGTAGGCAATTCTGATCAGTGTTGTCGAAAACAAAGTTATATTTTCCGATACTTTGTACAGTTTGTATAATTTAGGGCTTAAATTCGTAGTCTCCGAAATCCGCATTAGCTTGAATGCTTCGACGCAGACATAGCTAGTCCCTGCTGCAGTCCTGCTACTACTGCTGGTACCGCGGTTGGTTTAGAAAGCCAGCTAATGTACAGCTTGCGAGTTTTATTTCCAAAAATAGACTGAATCGACAAGAAGATAATCGCATTCAAGCAGCACAAAACGCCCGTCGTCCAGCCTGTGGCTGGTTGTCGCTGACGTGATCTTTCTTTCTCTGTTGGGGAGGCTTTCATTTGTCCTCAATGTGGCTCATCTGCCAGGATGAAAAACGTCACATTTGTCTCGATATACAGAACCGACGCGTTTCAACCGGGGGATTCTGTAGCAGCCCTTGTTCTGGTCGGGTAGCTCTGCGGACAGGACGCTCCGTAACATTTTAACAACTAACACCGGCCTGGTCTGGCTAGCTAGCCGCGGTGTCGACGACGCCTGTTTTGAAAACGTCGGGTGGATTCGTCGAAAATGCTAGAGGACTAAACCGTGTAAAGCCGTAAACATTTATCCCGATTAGCACAACATAAAGACGACTCAAAGAGGCAAACCCTTTACTCCTGTCTCACTCCTCTTGAAACCCAATATCTCCATTTGGCAACTTTTAATTTGCTCCCCCCCTCCTTCTCCTCCTCCTCCTTCTCCCTCTCCCACTCATATATTTTTCTCACTGTCCCTGTTCTGTCTCAGATAGATTTTTCTCTCCGCTCAAACTCTCTTCCCTCCCTGAAGGAAGGGAGGAAGGAGGTTGTGTGTGTTTTTTCCTTGAAATTTTTATCACAAAATTATAATACACTCAAAGGGAAACTCACCGTCATGAAAAAGCAGTGCCTTGTCAACGGGGTTTCCTCGCCATCACCGCACGGGTTGTTGGGGTAGTGCACAGAACAAGGCAACCAAAAATCATCCTCAGCAGTGTTTACGACCATCAGAAATTTGAATAGGAATTTTATGGAAAAAATAACGACAAATAATTTATAGACATATTTATATATTTACATTAATTATAATAACATGCATCAATGCCATAATGAATAGCGGATACATTTTCTTAGACTTAATCATTACCAACGGTAGAGGGCGGGCCTCTGGTGTGTGTGCCACACCTTAACGTTGCTCAGGTATGACGATATTACTTTGGGGGGAAATGTTTCTTAGTAAGACCTACCTACTAATCTACACATAATAAACTTTGAAAATATAACTTAAATAAAAAGTCAACTTCATACTGTGAACCTTTTTACATTCATAGATAGGCCTACTATTTTTATTTTATTCAGATAAAGGCATTTAAATGAATTCTTATTTATTGACATTTTAATGAATTCTTATTTATTGACATTTTTATCATATTCTATTCTATTGGGTAAATATTTGTGTGCGTTTTTGCACTTACAGTATCCTACATTTTATCTTTTAACTTCAGTTTCTCTGTCTGGTTTCCATAATACAAACTGTACTTGTCGTACAACATAAGTAAAACAACACAAAGAACATGCTGTAACGTACATGCATCATGTATAAACCCAAAAGCACTATTTATAAGTGATAATAATAGTAAGTAAATTGGTAAAGAAAATAAACAAAACACAGAGAAAATGATTAATTATTTTATTATTGCTATAAATAAAAGGTACATATAATATATAATAAAAAGTAAATAAAGTTGTTATTATCATGGTCCAGATCACTTGCCGCCGTGACAAGTCCCATACAGCAGGTGGCGGTAAGCTCCATTATTGGTCCGCGAAAGTCATGAAGAAGAAAATGCTGTTGTCACTTCCGCAACAACTGACATTGCAACAACATGGAAGCAATGGCTGAACATAGCCAGGAAACGCAGGTTACCGGCGAAAGTGGTGCAGACAAGATACAAGAGCGGCTTCAGAGGCGGCACCAGGCGAGGGCAAAGGATGCAGAGCGGAAGAAGGAAGCTCAAGAGAGCCGGTCTGTCGCCGAGGAAAAGAGCGAGTATTTCTGCAGTACTTTCAACGCAGAGCGGGCCTCCATCGAGGAACTGCTGTCCAGCTGTTCCGGAGCGGACCGTGCGGTGGTGACCCAAACACTGGAGGAGGCGACGGTCAAAACGCTGCAGCTGCAGAAGTTTCTGAACGACAGCATGTTGTTTCTCACGCAGTACGAGCTGAGAAGAGCCCAGGATGCTCTGAAGAAACTCCTCACCTCCTCAGCTGACATCAGAGAGGAGGCTCTGCCCAAGAAGAAGTTTGCCTTTCGAGCTCGCAGTAAAGCAACAGATAAGGTCTCTGCACCCCCAGTGACAGACACACCTACAGTTACTGATAGCACCAAGGTGGATGTAGCTCCTGCAGAGTCTGTGCAGTGCTGCTTCTCCAACATGGAAAATGTGTGTGTGATAAAGACAGCAGAGGAGATCCATAAACAAGACGTGCTGTTGACTCACCTGACTAACTGTAAAGTGCGTCTGTTTGGGTCTCCTAGCACGCTGCACATGACTCACATTGACAACTGTGAGATCCTCTGTGGTCCCGTGTCAAGTTCAGTATTTGTTGATCACTGTAGGAACAGCACTCTGGCCATCCCTTGTCAGCAGCTGCGGACCCACAACACCACAGACACACAGGTGTATCTGCACGTCACCAGCCGAGCCATCGTAGAGGACTGTCGTGGGGTTGGCTTTGCCCCGTTTACATTTTCTTATCCCACCCTTGATGAGGACTTTATTGTGTCTGGATTGGACCGGGATCGAAACAACTGGAGCCAGGTGGATGACTTCAACTGGCTCGCTGCAGGAACGCCTTCCCCTAACTGGACTGTCATCCCAGAAGCAGACAGGAAAACCAACTGGGAACTCTAGATTGTAAAGGCCTTAACTTGTTAAAGTAACATGTCAAACAATCAAATGTTTAATTTTCAGCACAAATACACAATGCATCTTGTCTGGGTTATTTCACAGTTGCATGAAGGTTTTCAGTAGGTTGTCAGTTAATACAAAAATAAAAAATGTTTTAAAAGACATTCATGCTTTTGCTTACACTTGCGAAAAAGACTGAAAAACAAAATGCTAAAAAATAGCGTTTAAATGTGTCTTCATAAAGAGAATGCTCGACTCTTCATCCTTAGATTTGATGCCTATTAAAAACATTTTGTTTCCCATGCAGTATGAGCTGATTTCAGGTGGTTTGCACTTTTTTTGGTAAATCCCAGCCAATATACCTTGTAGTAAATAGTCTTTCATTTGTAATGCTGGATTTGTCAGCCAATGACTAACAAGAAACATGATAAAACTATTACTATTACAATGTTCAGATTAGTAACTATCGTGGTCGTATTGTTGAAAAGAGATCTCTACCCAAAGAATTACTGAGAGGCTAATAATTAGTATTGTGTCAAAGTCTTTGTAGAGTAAACTCCTGTGCTGCTGACTAATCATTAATTGATCAATTTTCTTGTTAATTGTTGTTCATTTACTCAAATAATAATAATAATAACTTTATTTATATAGCACCAAATATTGATATCTGTCCTAAAAGTCAGGCTAGAATTTCCAGGAAATCTTCCAGGAAGATTTTTAAAAAAGGATCCTCCCACTGATACATTCTTACAGATTTCACTGTAGTCATTATAAAAGGCACAATTTCTTTGTCAAAAATAATATTCTGGCACGAATAGAAATTCCAATATGAAAATTGTTGTCGTGGAGGGAAAAACATTCTGCTAACGGAGAAACCATTGTCCAAGAATTTACATATTGAAAAAGCACATTCAAATGTAGAATACTGTTCTGTTTCCTTGTCATTTTAATAATTATACAAACCTGAAACCTATTGTGTAATACATCTACAGTAACATCCAATATTCATTCAAAAGATTTAAAAGCACTCAAACCCTCACGCAAATAATTAACTTAAAAGCACTCAATGGTACAAATCCATTTACATTTTTATCATTTAAGGGGGAAAAGGGTGAAGAAGGCCTGGAATGAGCCCCATGTTAAAATGCTGTGCATTAATGCTGCTGGTGACCATCAACCTTGAATGGCAATGGCTCTGATCTACAACTTGCAACAATATCTTGTCTGTACTCTTGAAAAGTAACTGCCATTGAAATGAAACAAAAATAAATCATATTCCTGCTCTACATGTTTGTTTGTTTCTGGTGTTTCCTAATGATACCATAGCCCTCTTACAAAGAAACACACATATTATGAAGTAGATCACAATGCATTTTGTACAATTTAAGCACGACAAAGAGTACAAAAGTTGATGTACATACAGTACAGCATACATCAGTGTATAGAAATAGTCCATATTTCTGTCTGTCCATCTTCTGTGGCAACATTTGGGAACACTACACAAACAGATACAGAAGGACAATATTGAAAAATCAAACTAATAATTATAAATAAATAACAATTCACAGATCCTATATTTTTTTACAACACTTATCGTCATATTTCTTCATTATAGTTTACATGATTAATTACATGCTTAAGAGCAGGACTTGTTACTGTTCACTTAAAATCAACATCTGTATAAGATACATCAAAAATAATTCTGAAATTAAAAGATGATAATACAAAGACAGACTAAGACGAGACAAAACAAGACAGTAAGGTGACATTATGAAATTGCAAAGGGGCTGTGGGTTGAATTTGGCCCATTGTTGTAGCGTTGAGAGGAAAAAGAAAGTGGAAAGTTTGGTTTCAAATTTGCATAGCATGTTTAATACAAAGGGAAACTTCTTCATTGTAATCTTGAGTAATTGAAGACAGGAAAAACAGCATTATTTTAATAACCATAAATGTAGTTATAAAAACAGTTAAAAATACAGATAAGGCCTGGATTAAGAATCGAATTAGAGAGGCAGCTTTGCCATCAATACTTATAACGGAATTTTGCAGCAACAACAACAATTCAGCTTGTGCAATAAGCAATGGGGTGGAGTACAGTATGAAGGAGTCAGAGAGGCCGTTCAGCTAAAGGCGCAGCTTTTGTCAACATGAGCATCTGACTTGAGTTTGTGCCAAACAGAGTGTTAATCTAACTGCCAAGATAATAAGTGACAATTAGACCATAAGGTAATTGAGAGCACTTAAAAAGACTTATTGGCTTGTGAAATGATGTTTTCTACAACAATCTTATGTGCATGTTTATTGATGTGTGATCTTTTGATGGGTTTAACTTTTATCCATCAAATGTCTCAGTTTTTTCGTTCTTTCTGTGAATGGGTTACTAGGGCGAGGGATGTATTTGCTCCACTGGGAAGACATCCGGCTTGTGTTGAATGCCAGCAAACAGTGAATGAACATGTTCCATTATTAACTCCACTTTCATGTCCATGGTCTTTGTCCGGCTTCATCTGATGCCATTACAATTCCACGGTGTGTTCGATCTATGCACCCATGACCACGTGAACGCTCAAACCAATTATGGCCCTTGGCAACGGTTTACGACCAGGCTCATCTTGTATGCAGGGATTTCTGGAAATTGGTTAGGCTGCTTACAGAGGCTTAGAATGACGTACTGAAACTTTGAGTTTAATCATTAGGATCTTAGGCAATCCTCCACCTTTCCAGGAGAAAGCAACATCACGATTAACATCACCTGCGTGTTGGGGAGGAAAAAACGGTAAAAATTGGGGGAAAATAGCCTGGTGAAAGTGGATGTTTCTGTTACAATGGGAGAGGAGATAGCTTTTAAGAAATAACTTTACTACGCTGCTCCCGGTTTCTCCTTCTTCATCTCTGCTGTTTTTCTGTGTGATGGATTACAGGCTGAGCTGATTCCTATTTTGCCTTTAGACCAGCCAGAGGAGACCCTGATAGCAAAGGGACCTGGAAACAGGAACTGCAGGTTGGCGTGTTCAACAACACCTTGGAGCTCCTGCTGTTCTAGATCGTAATTTTGAGTATTTTCTTTACTGGGTGAGGACACATTACAGCTTCAACAATGGCTTTGATGTTGGTAAAGTTTGACATGAAGAAGCGAGTAAAGCTCGCTCAGACAATATGGTTCCTGTACTGGTTCGCCGTAATGGCCGGCGTGCTGGTCTTCAGCATGGGGCTATTCTTTAAGATCGAGCTGCGAAAGCGCTCAGAACTTATGGACAACAACGAGAGCCACTTGCTGCCCAACGTTCTTATATTAATGGGTCTAATAGCCTGTGGCGTCAACGCTTTTGGAGGCAAAGTCTGCTACGACTCCCTGGACCCTTCCAAGTTTATAAAATGGAAGCCCATGTTGAAGCCCTTCTTGATGTTCTGCGTGGGGTTCAACGGCCTGTTGTTTGTCACAGCCCTGCTGTGTTTTGTGATGAGGATCCCGCTGCAGTTCACCCTCGCTGAGGGGCTGAAGAACGGCATGAAGTTCTACAAGGACACGGACACGCCAGGACGATGCTACATGAAGAGGACCCTGGACCTGATGCAGATGGAATTCAGATGCTGCGGAAACAACCACTACAGAGATTGGTTTGAGATTCAGTGGGTAAGCAACCGCTACCTGGATTTCAGCGCAAAGGAAGTCAAAGAGTAAGTGATGCAAATTCACTTTTACAATACAATGCAAAGGGGCTTTATTGGCCAGGCATACCCACATTTTAAACATATTATTGCCAATACTGTGAAACGCGAATTCATAACTAAATCCTGCATCATACCCTTTAAGAATTTGAGATTAAATGTTAGATATTCCTATTTTAGGTGACAGGAGAAAGGCTTAAAGAGGTTGACATTTAAGCTGCATGTACTATCTCAGTGTGTCTAAATGACCCTTTCACCGACCTCCATGGGGTGGTCGGGTCCTTTAGGGGTTAGTATAAGTGGATTTCAGGTGAAGGTCAAAGCAGGTACATTATTCCCTTTCGTCCACTGAGAATAACGAAATGATGACAGCAAGGACATGGCATTGGGAGCCGTGAGGGTGGAAGAGGTTACTAGGCAGTTTTCTGGATAACGGTGAGAAGGAGGGACTTGAGGAGGTGATTGGGGACAGAAAAAGATTCACAGGTCAAAAAGGCATGAGCGGGATTAACAGGACCTTGTTCCACTCCAGTGATATGTGGCCTCTTTCTGACTAAATGTTCATATCTACATTGATTGAAGTACCAGATAGGATTGGCGAGGAGTATTGTACAGGGAACAATTTTGAGCACTGGCACATAGTGTTTAATCTTAAGGATTACAGATTCCACGTCCTTCAGGAATCAGAGTCCTGTTCAATCATCAGAGGACCTGGCAACACTCCAGGGGCAGCACTGCGCAATACAACAATGTGTAGCTTCTATGATCAGTATAAGCACTTTCTAGGACTGCCTGGAAGAAGAGATATTGTCTCACTGGGACATTCTCGGCTAAATAGAGATTAAATAATTATAAGACAGTATTCTTGGAAAATATTTCTCAAAAATTGCTTATTTTTTATTTTCGAAGAGTATTTTCTTTTGAACCAAGTCCAATCCTTAACACCCTCCAATATCAGTTCAGCCATTTATTCAATTACCTATGTCGAGTTGGTAATTTTTTTTCTGGTTGGGTTGTTTGTCAATAGGATTACTTACTGGCCTGATTTCTCATTAAACTTTGAAGAACAGTGTAACATGGGCCAAGAAGTAACTCATTTTATGTTGAAGCGGATTCGAATCATAGGGCGTCTACAAATTATTATTTACTTTTGTTAACATTCTAAGCAAGTGCATTTGGCCTTGACAGAGGTCTGTGCTCTTTCTGTGTTCTTCTACTTAATAGTGCCGTGACTAATATCCAGAACTGATCCCTATCCTTAGGGTTGTAAGTACTGTGTGTTCTGTAGTAATGCCCAAAGTCTTATCTGGGGCGTTATTTTTGGCTTGTTGATGTTTCTAAACACCACTGATCCATTTCTGACTATCTCATGTCTTAGTGATCCAATCCTACCCGTCTTTCCATTGACCTACTACCATCAATAACAGTTAGCAAGATCTGTGTAAGGCCCTTTAAACACAATTTGAGACATGTTATCAATAAACATTAATGGTTTTAATTCAGTCATTTACTGCAAACCAATTTACAGTAAATGAAAATGAGTCTTGTATACCAGTGACAATGTTGTTTAACACAATAAAAGAATAAGGGAATAATATACAATTAACACAATTGAAGCAATACAAACCATTTAATAAACTTGGCAATCATCCTAATTTTGTGATGGTTTAAAGTTTGATATATGCAAGAATGTTGGGTTTGGAGTAATGCATAGCATTGTTACGATTGCCTTAAATACCTTATACTCATTAGATTTGTTTTAATTAGATTATTCAGTAATTGAAATAAATAGTCTTGATTAAGGTCAGAGTTTGATCAATGCCTGTATAGCTGACCAACAGCAGTTTGGTCTTTTTTTAAAGATTCAAGGGATACATTACAACCCAACTGAAAACATCTAATGCCCTATACTCATAGCTAGTAAAAATGCAATTAAATATTTCACACATACGTCAATACAGTTCCTGATCTTTAATCCCTTTCACCTCCCGCCAATCTTAATGAGACACTAACGTGGAACTTTGCCTTATCCTCTTAGCCGCATTGGGAGCAATGTGGACGGCCAGTATCTGATGGATGGAGTCCCGTTCAGCTGCTGTAACCCCAGCTCCCCCAGACCCTGCATTCAGGGCCAGATGACCAACAACACTGCCCACTACAGCTACGACCACTACACGGAGGAACTCAACGTATGGAAGCGCGGCTGCCGTGAAGCCATGGTGTCCTACTACGGAGGCTTGATGAACACCATCGGAGCCCTGGTCTTGTTGGTCACCATGCTTGAGGTCAGGGCCAGTGATGCACACAACACAAATATTCACGCAAGAAAATTGTAATTGTGTACAGTCTGTTTTGTATTCTATAATTTTAAGTCCCGAAAACCTACACTATCACTTAGCTATCACAAGGACTTTCTCACTAACAATCTGAAATTCAATGAAGGTAGAGAAATTAACCAGACATGGATTTGCCAAACCCACTTGTGAGTCTTCCATCTTGAAGTTTTTCCCTTGTAAAATTGATTCTTGATAAAGCATTATTGTCACATTTGGGTCAAGTTGTTCAAGTACATTTTTATAGCATTAAACCATCTTTGTCTCATTGGCCAAGATGTAACAGGGCTTATTGAGGAAAACACCCACAGGCACCTGACGGTTGTTAAGAACGGCAGTTGGTATTTTCCCTCAAACTCCCACAAGCAGCAACAATTCCACATTAAACATGTAAACGTTCACAGGTGACACAGGTGACACAAAGTTACTTTGTATCAGTACTTTTTGATTTTATAAGAGATAAAGACTCAAACATCCATGTGAAGTAAGGGGGTGAATTTATTGATGATTAAATATGATGTATCTTTTTGCCAAACAATTCAGTGGGAGCAGAATAAAATAGCTCAGGAGTCAAATGAGGACTAGTAGTATGGCGTGAGATGAAGATCTTGTGCTTAAACATGCTTAGCCTTGGCCCAGTTGGCACATCTGTCATCCATCACCTCCTTCCTTTCCTAACTCCGCCTCTGCTATCATCTGTTACTGCATCGTCCATAAAGAGTCTATCCTCTTTACGTTCTGTTAGGTTACCCTGCACCACCTTTGGAATGTACGCACATGCAGCTTACCTACAGCATCTCACCTGCTACTCTTTACCTAAATGTTAATCCTACAGCTGTCCTACGGCCGGAACATCCTCTACCAACCTCGATTGTTGTTGTTGTTGTTGTCGAGGTCCAATAATCTTAACTCCACTGCAGTTAAAAGTGATAAACATTGATACAGTGATAGTCAGTGAGTCCCTGTATCAACTCAACGACACCTCTGTCTGTCCAGCAAACAAGCTCTTGTTCTAGATGTAGGCGACCCCCTGGAAGCTGATCAGACTCACAGTTGGAAGAATCTCAGATTTAAGAGATGTTATGCAAGAGTCTCCATACTGACACACATAGTGTGCTCAGAGATGGAGCGATGGGTTAATCTATGGGAGGTGACAAGGACAGACACACTTCCTGCAGCTTTAGCTCTCAATCTGACCTGAAGTCACGGTCTTAAATTACTACTTAACGTTTCTAATGATAGACTTGACCTCAGGCTGTAAATACCTTATTTTTCATAATTTGACAAACAGAAACAGAACATAGAAAATTAGGGTAAAGGAACAAAATAGTGATACAAACTACAGTAAAAAATGTATGCTAAATAATTAGGGATAAAAAAAGAAAGAAAAAACGAACTTTCACATTTATTTGTTCTACTTCTTCATGCATTTCCCTCTCACCGATCACTCATACAAACCACACTTACATAACACACATGCACAGAAACATATTCACATAAAATACATCAATATCTAGCTTTAGAAAATGTTTAACACATACATTAAATATACAACTCAAAGCCTCAGTTGTCTTTATTATATTGTTAATGTCGTCTATACATTGAAGGATCTTATTTATGCAATGTAATTTTCTTTCAAAATGTACCAATATAACATATTTAGAACACAATATAAATACAACTATGTACCTTCTTTTACTATGTCACTCACACTGCACTAATACAAAAAAAAAGTTTCTAGATATTTTGATTGTAATCTAAAAGGCCTGCAACTGTAATCTGCTGATTATGTTCTCCATTTTTATTTACTGGAACAATGTTGGCATATTTGCGTAAAAGTGATCCAAAGGTTTGATCAATCTTCAAAATATGCAACTCTAATTATAATTTATAATGTAGTATTTTTTCACCTATGCGTTTTTATTCCTCTGGTCCCTTGACAGCAAGCAGTTGATAGGATCTTGTGGTTGCCACAATATTCTATTTTTACTTATCGTATGATTACAACACCTTTAAACATGTTGAGATTGTCCTCATCAGAAGAATCTGTGATTTCCTAGTGTTCAGGTGTTCTGATATGTATTTCTCACTGTTTCAGATTGCTGTGACCATCGGCCTGCAGTACATCAACAGCTCTCTGTCCAGCCTGGTGAACCCTGAGGACCCAGAGAGCGAGAGCGAGGGCTGGATCCTGGAGAAGACAGTGGGGGAGACGTTCACCGACATCATGACCAACATGAAGGCAATGAGCAAAGGTGGCAAGGTGGAGGAGGAGGCCGAGGCAGGGGTGGCCACGGTGAGCTGAGCTAACCCCTCCTGCAAAAACTGACACAACTCCCACCTAAAGAGGAGAGGAAGGGGACAAATTAGATCTAAGCGTTTTTCTACCAACATTCATTATGTCGACACTACCACACACAAACATACTCAGCTATGAACTCCTTTCAAAGTGGACCCCTTTCAAATGGAATCCTTGCGTAAATAATTATATATTCATACATAGAGAGAGGTAATGTGTAGGGTGAGTAATGTTGTAATTTTACATTTTGGTTTTTCCCCAACCAATCAAATCCATCTGAGGTTCCAGCCCTGCTTTCAGCATTCTTTTAAAGAAATGTTGGCTCCGTGGGGTTTGGATCTTTACAAAAAAATAAGTAAATGTGATATGTATTGATAAATATCAGATGCTTTGCAATCACGAGTAAAATATTGTAATGTTGTCGGATAGTTTGGCGGGGATGGTGGTTGCTATGCAACCCCCCCTCTCATGGAAGGATGGAAGGTATTTAACAGCCCAAAAGATATTTTATTTTTGATTGACTTCTAGACGTTGGCTTGTAGCTCATAATGGTAACAAATGATATCCACTCAGCTCTTTTTATACTCCAGTCCGACTTTGTCCCAAACGAAGACTGGATAAGCTCCTGAGATGGAGTAAAATTATCAATTGAATGAATCGGTATGAATAATGCATGAATGTTGCGGCGCATGGTCGATTAGTGACTCATGGGAACTGGGATGTGAGCCCTGTAGAGAGGCAGGGCCAACTCCAAACCTGTGGAGGGCGACTGAAATTGGCAGCTAAATCTTGGCTCCTGACCCCTGCTCTGTAATCTCAGACCCTCTTTGGTGTGTCCCTTGTGCATTCAGTATCTGTATATTAAGACACATGTATGTAAATTCCAACAACCTGGGTTGCTGTGTTTGTACATAGTGTAGAAATGATGAAACATATTTAACTTTTTTAAATAATGTAATTAAGCTAAATCTTTTATTGAAATCCCTGTAAAGTTTTTTCCATTTTTTTTCTTGGCTTTGTGAGTCTATGTAGAATGAGAATTGTAAAAAGGAATAAAGAATTTTAGAAATGTTATTTGATAGTGAAATAACAACGTTGTATTGTCCCAACCTTGAGTCGCACAAACCTGAGATCAAGAGGCGAGGCATGCTGTGAGTGCTGCAGGGATCCTGATTAAGTCAATAGGATCAGGCCAATTATGGCATTACTGCTTTCACATGGACATTGGATGACTCTTCACATGTCCAGTGTAAGGAAGGGGGGGTTGAACCAGATACATTCACAAACTATAGAGTGAATGTGTGTGTTTGCAAGGGACTTTTTCATTTCAATTGGTTGTGTGGTGTTTTGATTTAATGTACAATCTGATATTTGTGTGACTTAAATCCGGTCTATAATGAGCCTTGACATTTAAAGATGGAAAGTAACAAATCCCTTGATATATTGATAAATAGCAACCAACTGTTGATCTCTTGAAACACAGTCTATACATCTTAACTGAGCTTGACATACACTGCAAACACATATCAGGAAACCACTGTGTGAAAGTCAGTGTTTTTTAGCAGACAGGGGGCTAGGAAAAGTCAGCTGTAAAGAGGTAAAGAGGCCAACTCTGCGCGGTATTTTTGTTCGAGCAAAGCACATAACCAGCACTGAGTAGATAAGAGGCCTAATCGGCTTTAGATCAGCATGAGCCCCTCAGCCAGGTGAGCAGGTGATATCCTGCTGCGGGACTCACGTCACGGAGTCAGGCACACACAGACAGAGATAAAAAGACAAACACGACAATGAAAAGATAGGCCAAGCAGCTAAAAAGAATGATGGTTTGAGTAACATATGGAATTAATTAATAGATTTGAAACAAAACGTAGAAACAGTGGTGGAAAAATTAGATCCTTTAATTGAGTGAACCACAATGTAATGGTACACCATTAAATCAAAAGTCCTGCATTCAAAAAGTGAAAGTACGGAGTAAAGTCTTCTCTGCCAAACATATAGCATATACAAATAAATAAAGATAAGGTATAAATATAAAATAAGTTCAAATTTTGCTGCAGTGTATAACTATGGATAATATTAAGGGATCCTATTTCTGGTGCTTTAACTTTTTAATAGTATTTCAATGGAGTTTATGACTGTTTCATATAAGAGTATTTTTATAAATATCAGTCGTTTGATCTGTAACATGCATCGTATTTGAAAGGCTCCTATTTTTGTGTATAGTGTTTTTGGAAGTAAATAGTAACTAGTGAAAAGTACACAATTTACTTCCAAATTGTGATAAACTATAGTACTTGAGTATTAATGCAATAAAGATATTGCCAAATATAGAACAGTTTTAATCAGTGGTGGAAGAAATATTAAAATATTCCCTTAAATATAATTCAAGAAATATTAGCAAAAATACCTGAAGTACAACAAGTAAAGAAGCCTACTAATTTTACAGAATGATTTCAGAAAATATAATATTAGTAGATTACAAATGTACTGAGTTACTTATCCCCACTGGTTTAAATTCTTCTGTATGCAGCAAACAACCCATTATTGTCCCAACAACAAATGTCATGAACAAACCGCCTCCAAAGTGCTATCAGAGCAACTTCTGTTTGACAGTAAATTTAAGATACATAATTTACCAAATTGCATCCGATGTTGTTTCCAAACAATTCTTTCTCATCAGAAGACTGAAGCTTCTCCCACATCTGTTAACTATCCTGAAAGGAACACAAACAGGCTGCAAAAACATCCTTTGTGTCTATTGTCTTCTGCTGCTCTCTGTTGGTGACTGCAGGTAATAAAAATACAAATACACTGGGTGTGAATCTAATCCATTGAAGATCTCCGACTCCAGCAATAATATAAAAATGTAGTTAGCTTCAGTTGAAACTCTTTTATGCTTTTGTGACCATCTCCCCAACTGTTCTTGCAGCAACCTTTACTCCCAGCCTCTCTTCAAATGTAGATTATTTGACTCCAAATGTATTCTAAACTTTCCCTGCGTCATTGACAAATTGCTGGCATGTATCGACACTTTAGGCCTGTAAAAGGTTTCAGTTACATTAGAAGTCCACAGGAGGGTGTCTTTTCATCAGTGGTGGTATAACAGGGATGACCACCCCACTGCTGAAAATACTTTAAGATAAAGAGCATTTAACACTTCAACGTAATAAATATTAAGATGAAACACAAAATACAGAATTGTAATGAAGTCTATTTATAAGTAGTATTTCATCACTTTAATAAGATCCCTTTTATTGACACTAATGATCAAAGCACATCTTCCAGCAGCTGAAAACTACATTTAGACAGGATATAAGTTTAATCTTTGATTGATGTGTTGATTCTTTTTTTGATTATTGGATTAAGTGTTTAGCATTAAAATGTGAGACGGAGTGAAAAAATGACATTTATTTCCAGATATCATTAGTTGTATTCAACAAACAGACTAAAACATGTCCATGCAATGAAGACTCTGAAATATCAGTAGTATCAATGACGTTTTTTGAGGTTTTCTTTTTCCTATAGTGTGTTTTAGGTTTTTGTGCATGTAAATGCTCTGAAAAGGCTAGAAAACCCAAAGTGCATGCCAGAGGGAGTTTCTTTCCCACACACTTACCCCCTGCCTGAAACGCCTCCATAATAAGGGCCGGGACATCTCTAACCAGTTGACCAATCACAACGGAGCCGTCCAGCTAACCAATCAGAGCAGACTGGGCTCTGGTTTCAGACAGAGGGTGAAAAGAGGTGCTGCAGCACAGGCACTATGAGAAAAATAAAGACCTTTCTGAACATTAAAGCATGGAAACATGTCATAGTAGAGGCACAAACTACATATGAACCTGAAAAAGCTCAGAATAGGGCCCCTTTAAACGTTATCAAATTAATTGTCAATAAATGGTTTCACATTTGATTTATGGAATTTATGATTAAAAAAAAATGAATGGCCGACATTAAATCATATGTGACTGTTTTGCATCCAGAATGCGACTAATAGATGAATGTAAAATGTGTAAAATATAAAATAATAACAATAAAATAAGAGGTAGGCTTTCAACCTTTAGCCTATATGAGTAGAAACTATACAAGAACAAGCTTTACAAGACCCGAAAAAAGTTATGAATGAATGAATGAATGTTTTAGAGTGATAAGGAAGTAATGTGTTTGGAGTTAGACATGCTCTGATATTAACTGTGGTAACGGGTTGACCTTGACGTTTGAGCCAAAGGTCAGGGACAGTGCTATCACATCCCTCTACACTTCACTACAAGCTGAATAAATATGGCAGACAGAAAGAAAAGCAGAGGCAGAGAGTGAGAGAGAGGCCCGTGACTGGTAGATGTGTGGCCTGCTCAGAGGGGCATTGTTGGAGCTATGAGAGGACAATGCACTGCCCCCGCCCTGAATACTCGCCATACCAGCTGATCAGCCATTACCAACGCTGCTGCTGCCCCGTTACAATTCCTGCTGCTTTCACACACACACGCACACGCACGCACGCACACACACACACACACACACACACACACACACACACACACACACACACACACACACACACACACACACACACAAACACACACATAATCAAACACACTTTGCATCCCACTCTGCCTCAATCATAACTTTAGTCTTACAAGGCAAAAATCATACACTGTGTATAACAGAGAGAAACCAAGTGGGAGGCCAGCAGCCCGGACAAAAGGCTTAAGTCAAGGCATGCATGGGCACACATGTTGTCTCGCCACTGTGTGTGTGTGTGTGTGTGAGATGGGCAGCGAGCATGTCCAACTTCTGCTCCATACAGAAGTAAGATGTCTATCAAGAGGGAAGGTGCTTTCAAGGCTTTTTGAATTGCACAGAGAAGTCCAAGTCTTCTTACAGGACAAAAACTTCCCCTTATCAGATGTGTTTGATGATACAGTGTGGCTCAGCCAGTTGGCATACTTGTCAGACATTTTCTCCCGTTTAAACGACCTGAATTTGGGACTACAGGGACTCTCCATCAATGTGTTTGATGTGCAGGACAAAATCAACACAATGCTGAAAAAGTTGGAGTTATTCGAAATCAAAGTCAAGGCTGGTGATGTTTCAGCTTTCCCTGCTTTAGAGAGTTTTCTGTCTGAGAACGAGCTGACCCTTGATGAAGGAGTGAGGGACAACATGGTTGCACACCTTGTCTCGCTCAGACAACAGTTCCGCCAGTATTTCCCAGTGATGACCGAAGACAACAGCTGGATGAGAAGCCCGTTCAGCATGGAAGCTTCTGGACTGCCAAATAACTTAACTGTGGCTGAGCAGGAGAGTTTAATAGAGTTGTCTTGTGATGAAACACTAAAGCCTGCTTTCAGAAAGCAGTCTTTAGTGGACTTTTAGATAAAGCAACACAGAGAATACCCCGCCCTGTCTGACAAAGCTGTGCGCTTTCTCCTTCCTTTTGCGGCCACATATCTGTGCGAGAAAGGCTTCTCTTCCCTTGCTGTTATTAAAACCAAATACAGAAGCAGGCTGAATGCTGAGCCAGACCTGAGACTGAAGCTCACCTCGATTGCCCCAGACATCAAAGGACTGTGTTCACGGAGACAGGCGCAACCTTCTCATTAGATTTAGGTGACTGGTCAATGGACACCAACATGTGGCAGAGAGAGAGTGAGTGTGTGTGTGTGTGTGTGTGTGTGAATGAGTGAGTGCACATGTGTGTGATTTACAGCACGTTAAGTTTAGCCACTAGCACCTATCTGTTCACACTTTAGCAATAACGTTTCTCTTCCAGCCACCCAGAGAGGACCAACGCACACATCACACCTGCTTATTATTTCAGGATCCCTGACAAAAGCCCTGAAAGTGGAAGGGTGTGTGAACAGGAGAGAGGGGGGGGAGTGTAGTAGACAGGGTTAGAAGAAGTATTAAGATCGTTTAACTGGTAAAATAGCCACATCACAGTGTACAAAATACTTAATCACAGGTCCTTTATAATAAAAGGGCAGCAGGAGTATCAGCATGATTAAAGGGTGATTGTTAGTGATACATGTAAACAGTACTTAACAGAGTTCTTGTTGGAGCTGATTTTAACTGGTCCAAATACTGTTTGTTTAATCTACAGAAACAAATACTTGATTAGTCAATAAACAGAAAAGTGAAGCAGCAACAATATAGATAAACCATACTGTAGTCAAACTCAACATGTGTTGCCTAGTTGCTGTCAAATAAATGTATAGTAAGATGATGATGGAATCTGAAATGTAGTAGTGGAAGAATAGGCGAAAGTTGCACAAACTGGAAATACTCAAGTTCAGTCCTTTTACCTTCAGAGGTCAGATACTCAGTTACAAGTTAAAGTCCTGCATTCGAAATGTTACTCAAGTAAAAGTACAAAAGTATTGGCATCAAAGTATACTTAAAGTACCAAAAGTAAAAGTACTCATTGAAAGGTTGTCCCATTTCAGAATAATATATTATGTTTTGATTATAATTATTGATGCATTAATGTGTTTATCAAAGCTGGTAAATGTGCAGCTAGTCTTAATGACTAAAGTCTGATTTAAGAGTTGATTATATTTCACATCATTAATCCAAAAGTAACCGAAGGTATTAAATAAAGTAGTGGAGTAAAAGTACACGATTTACTGATATTGAAACAATATTTAATAACGTAGCATTATAAGATTAAGTACAGTATAGTTGAGTAAATGTACTTAGTTACTTTACACCTCTGATTGCTTTAAAATCAACTATGGAGAATATCTTATAACATTTTAGTCTTGCTAAATTGTTGTCTCTTTTGTCTGGGCTGTTTAAATGTTGCTCCAAGGGATAGTATACAAGGTGCTTCAAATAAAGTTGCTTTGCGGAATGCATTATGCATTGTTGGTGCTTTAAGTATGTTGATGGTAATATTTATATGTTTAAAGAAGTAGGAATTCAAAACTTATAACACAGTTTTTCTACACTATAACTAGGCCTACTTCCACCACTGCTCAAAAGTCTTCAGTGCAGTTCTTGAGGGCACCTGGACACACACACACCCATTCCCAAGGACAAATGATGGACAGTAACAGGTGTACATACCTAGAGCTGTTATATTGTTATTCTGTGGGCGTAGGGTGTGTGAGAGAGGCAGGGGCTCTGAGGGGACGCGCCTCCTCCCCTGTGATAGCGGAGACGCGCCGCGCGCTCCTGACAACCCACTCGTGCTGCTGCTATACTGTACTGTAATCATATGATAGGGAGTCGATCCCCGCTGCAGAATACCGACACACCGGGCGGACACCAGCAAAGCAGCCGGGGCGGAGGACACCACACGAGAGCAAGTTTTTATTTTTAAGAAGTGCGTGGAGTCAGTTAGCGTGTCGCCACAAGTGCCAAAAAAAGAGCCAAACTCCCTCTACAAAAAGGAACTTTTTCAAACTCTGGACAGAGAGTCGGCACTGGGGGGAAGAAGAGAGGGCATACAGAAGAAACGTTATCCGCAGGACACTCTTTTTCACCGGGACTGATATTTGAGTTTACTCCGCTATCAGAGCGGCGGTCAGCGGGTCGCGGCCGGTGGAAACCCCTGGGGTATTCGCATCGCTTGTCAGGGCGTGTGCGTTGTTTTTTGAAAATATCCACCACCAGTTTTTCATTTAGACACTTTATTGTAGAAGCTAAAGCCATGGTTGGGGAAACAGAGGTGAAGGAGAGACCCAAGTCCAACCCGGACTACCTAATGCAGCTGATGAACGACAGGAAGGTGATGAGCTCCCTGCCCAACTTCAGCGGCATCTTCTCGCATCTGGAGCGGCTGCTGGATGAAGGTAACTCGGTTTATTTTCAGGGAGTTAAACCCCGTTTATTGGAGACTCTAACCACTTGTCACACTACAGAGACAATTACCTTTTTTTTTGGCTAATTTGATGGTCAGTGTCATAAAACTGACATTATTGACTCACTTTATTGAAAAGTCATTAACTGCCCGAATTCCTCTCTGGCTCCTAGGAAACAAATGTCACCTCCATCACACCCTGAATGATGCGGACGATAAATTATGAAACTCTTTCATTGTACTTGTTGCTTTTCACTGAATTCCCTTACAGAGATGAGGTAGTAAATACAAATTAAAAAACCAAAAGAGATGTGAACCTTAAGTAGCATATTTAATGTGTTGATAGCAGCAGATGAGCACACACACACACACACACACACACACACACACACACACACACACACACACACACACACACACACACACACACGGGCAGTTGGTGATGGGAACAAACAGACAGTTGTTAGTCTTTCCCAGTGACCTAATGCGCAGGCTTATGTGAATGCTGCAGCCCATCCCTGAGCAGGAACGAGAGCATGTCACTAAGTAAAATATTTGATTTGAGGCTACTTTACATGCTGCATGTGCAACTAATCAATGCCTTTCACTTGTTGATGTCTAACAGTTTTTGTTTTTTTTGCAGTTCTGAAGTAACACAATCTCACGGCATTGCAACAGTTGCTTTCAAAGTGAGGTCTTATTTGCCAAACGTCCCCTTTTTAGAATGTCAAGGCCTGTTGTTGCTACTGTTGTTTCACATCAGGATCACCAAGATCCTGACTTTGTGCGCTTTGACAAGTCTCATGACGCAGCAAGGTTGATCTCATACCAGACGACCTCTGCAGCCTGACAAATAGGTCAAGTTAACATCTCCAGTCGTGTACATGTTGACGACTGACAGCCGGGCTTATTCGTCCCTCACCCTTAATAACGTGACACCCTCGGTTAGAATGAAAGGCATTGTGCCATGCTCATTTTCAGCCTGGCTTTGTCTTCTGCCTGAGTAATGCGGACAAGGGCATTGTACCAAAAAAGTTTTGCAGGGTAACAAGAAAGCCTGTCAGTCAAACATCTTGACCGGCTGCATGTTTGTGGCATATTTGGAAACACAGTGCGGTGGAGTCCGGTCTAAATATAAACAATTGACAAGTTGAAGTGATGAGATAAAGCCTGCTACAGTCCCCCCCACCACCACCACCACCCTTTATCTCTCTCTCCTTCCTCCACTCTCTTGTTCTTCTTTCACTTCTCATTTTCCTCAATGCTCTAACTGAAGTGTGACAAAAGCCCTGCTTGCCTGTGCAGATTTGTTTGTGTGTGCCTGTGTGTGTATGTATGTGTGTGTGAATTTTAATTGTCACTCTTAGTCTGTAACAGGTCAGAAGAGGTTATTAGAGGATCATCATTGTCCCTGTAGCTGTGGCTGTAATTATAGCATCCTACTGTAGTTATTATGGTCAGACTTATCAGAGCAGGGAGACATGCCTGTCAGCCTGCTTAGGTCAGATGATATTTGTGCCTCGAGGCAGATATTCTGTCGTGTGTGTGTGTTGGTGTGAGTTCAAGCCGGGGGTCTGTTGGTATGTGTTGCGTATGTGTTTGTGTAGCGCAGTAGTCAGTTATTATTGTGCCAGCGTGTCATTACAAAGGCATCAGAGGCTAACATAGGTCATTGAGACAACACCAAACAAGCAGACAGCCAGACAAACATCTCATTTATTTAGGATGGAGTTTCCGCACCAAACCTAAGGCAACATTTGGACCATTTAGGTACATTTTAAGAAAAAATTGCTACAATTCCAACAATTGCCAACATTTTTTGCGATTATTTGTAACTAAATTAATATCTTTTAGTTTTAGACTGTCGGTCTGAAAAACACATATTAAGACTCCTAGGAATATTTATTCCAATTATGAAATAATAGCCGATAAATGATTGTCTGTTTATAATAGAAAATTGCTGTCCTAGACAAAAAAAGGTCAATATCAACACACTCAGATACAGTATGTGGCGAAGAAAAACAAGCGCATCACGACAAGACATGTCACAATTTGAAATATACGTTTTTTAATGTATATTTTTACATTTATCCATAAACTCCAGGATATTAGCTTCTTTTAAAAGAAAAGAAAGTCAAATGATCTTATGTGTATCGGCCATGAGAAACAGCTGATATTGGTATCAGGTAAAGAAAAAAAAACATCGTGAATCTTCGTTTTTACTGTTGCCTTGAGCATATGATTTATTGAGGAGTCTGAAAATGTTTTGAAAAATAATCACTAGTTGCAGCCTTACTGCTTTGTAAAAATATCGAGGGCGGTCTATATTGATGTTGCAACACTGTCTTCTACAATAAACACTAAAGGGTCGAGTAGGTCAATGTGACCATGCTGACATGTCTGTTTTTTTTCCTGTTATTTACTGAGTAAAAGGGTAAAATGTGTGTGTGTGTGTGTGTGTGTGTGTGTGTGTGTGTGTGTGTGTGTGTGTGTGTGTGTGTGTGTGTGTGTGTGTGTGTGTGTGTGTGTGTGTGTGTGTGTGTGTCTGTGTGTCTGTGTGTGTTGGACACAGTTGGAAATAGAAATGGAAATAAATAAATTGTCTGTAATAGAAGAGGCCTGGTTGCAGAGCATTAGGTGGTTAGATTCTACGTTGGGGTGCATAATTCTGGTAACTGTCTGTCTGTCTGACTGTCCGTCTGTCCCACTCAGAGCTTCCTGTAATTCTGGTGACAGTGAGTCATCGTCCTAGTTAAGGACGGTCTGAAGAAACGTGACACTTATGGTTGCTCATTTACACTCAGTTTAATTTTCCTCCCTCTTTCTGTCTTCCAGAGATCGGCAGGGTACGCAAGGACATGTACAACGACACAGTGAACGGTGGCATGTTCAACGGGCGGGACATGGAGGAGCTTCCCGAAGCTGTTGGCCCCGTGGCTCAGCTCCAGGAGAAGCTCTACGTGCCTGTCAAAGAGTACCCAGACGTGAGTGGATAAATACGTGACCTTTGACCTTTGACAAGAGTTTCTGTTTACTTTATCAGGTCACTTTATCTCCTCTTAGTGACAGAAAGGGCTGCCAAATAGTTACTGAGGCTTTTAATCACAGCTTTTCATTTAATCTTAAAGCTGATTTCATTCTGAGATCATCTCTGCTCACACCCGATGATGTAATCGAGACTTAAAATAAATCAATAATGAACCCAGGCCAGTGTTTCCGAAAAGATAAAAATGAATATATCACATTATGTTTCAGTCAATATTCCCAATGACAACATTTCATTTAACACCATATATATTCATGAGAGCTTAGGTGGACTAAATATTTTCCCAAAATATAAAGAGAATTGCACCGCAGTGAAGAAACAAGTATCAGCCCCCGCCAAGCACAGTAAAGCGCTCAAATGTAAGTTACGTTGATCCAGATTGAAATGGCTCACATGATATTCTCCGCGCATCAGCTCGCCAATCACTGAATACAATGACAGGCTGTCCTCACTCACATGACAGGAGGTTAACAGGACACACACACTGCAAAACGGTTGAGACAAGGTTAAATTTAGAGAGCAGTTCCTCCTTCTGGGTTTGTGTGAGTGTGTCGAGGGTTATAGTAGAGCAAATGTGTTGCAACTAAAGTGAACATTAGTTTAAGCTTGGTGGAAGAGGCTAGACAAATGGTTTGAGAGACAAATATGAGAGACAGGGGAATGAAACACACACACACAGAGGGACAGCTGTGTAGTTAGTCACTCAGTCTTAGTGACAGATAAGGTTAAGAGAACGGCGCTGTCCTGTTATAACACCAGCACCAGCCAGCACCCAAATAATAATCTATTTTCGTCTCTGTTAGTAACACATCGCAGATGCACAAACATTCACTTGCAGCACATGCAGATACACACACATTGTGAATAGACAGTCTTTGATGTATGTGTGTGTGTGTCTGTCTTCCTCCAGGCCTTTCTCTTTGATTATCAATGAGACTGTTTTTGCTCTTTGGTGTAGTTTAACTTTGTAGGGAGGATCCTGGGCCCACGTGGACTGACGGCAAAACAACTGGAAGCAGAGACCGGCTGCAAGATAATGGTGCGAGGCAAGGGCTCCATGAGAGACAAGAAGAAGGTATGCACACTGAGAAACACACACAAACACACAATATACATGCTTTCATGGTCAGTTTCACTTGAGTAGCTCTGTACGTATAGATGTTATGCATGTTCACATCACCTTTACTTAAAGGTTACTTAATAGTTTGAAAGTCTTGTTTTATGGTCAAGCAGAAGAGAAAATCCAAAGCCCTCGCGTGTCTGTACACTAAATATGAAGCTGCAGTCAAGAGACCTTAGCTTAGACTCAAAATGGGGGGAAGCTTGAGTCTGTCCTAAAGTAAAGACAGTATTCTCCTCTCTCCAACCAAAGACTCCAGATGATAGAGTTACATTGATTAGTTAACTAAACTAATGTAGTTGTGTGTTAACTAATCAATAAGTGTATCTATTGACAAATGATCTCCAACTCTTTTGATAGTCTCCTAGACATGTTCATGCTTAAAATGCTGTATACAGCCACTCCAATATAGAAGTCTCTGGAATTTGACCCATTTAACTGAACATCTTTTGGATTAACAAAACAAGCAGCCAAGGGGTCGCTGGAAACAGGCTTAGAAATACCATTACCCAGTAAAACCATAAGGTGCCATATTTACACAGCACTTTTTGTATGGGTATAATACTGAGATATAACGTGTTCAATTAGTGTGCATTAGGAAGCTTGAGAAGTTCTGCTTAGCACTTAGCTTCAGATAGAGCCAGGCGAGCTGTTTTGCCCAGTTTCCAGTCCTTATGCAAAGCTAAGCTAACTGGCTTGGGGTTGATTCTACAGATATGAGAGTGGTATCATGTTTTCTTATCTTACTCTCTGCAAGAGACCCCAAAACATTGGCAGCAGTTGGTTCCAATTCACTTTAGCAACGTTTTAAAAGTCAACCTTCAGAAACATTTGGTTAAGACAGGGATGCCGTCCAGATGCACTTAATGTGTACTTCCATTACTGTCAAAGGAACAATGTTGACATGCTTCAAATTTATTTCATTTTAGTAATGCAATACCACTCAGCAACAACAAAACAATAAAGATGGGTACATGGTGTTCAGATGCATTTAAGAGGAGCAGCTTTGACCTGGAAGGAAGTCAATAGCAGGCTGCAGGCTGAGAAAAATACAAGGATCCATCTATCTATCTATCTATTTATCTATCTATCTATCTATCTATTTATCTATCTATCTATCTATCTATTTATCTATCTATCTATCTCTCCCTCCTCTCCCTTTTCTCTCAGAATGAGTTTTTGGTTGTCAGTTTTTCTGTCCTGGTGTTCGGTCCATCTGTTCCCTCTTCCTCTCCCCTGGTGTCTTCTGTTGGACGGCTCAAGCTTTCCAAACGGCAGGTGGAGCAAGTCCAGCATTCCTCCCCGTCCCCTCTCTCTCCAGAACATTCTCTACCTCTCACGCCCCTCAGAGAGAGAGAGAGACACACACAGAGACAGAGAGGAAGGAAAACAGAGACACAGTGGGAGGCAGTGGGGGAGATGAGAGGAAGATGTTGACTTTTGGTGTTTTTCAGAATGATGCATCTCACTTGACAAAACATAGCGGATAGGATGTCCCAGCATGCCTTACTGAATACACAGAGCACTTCATAATTTCAGTTTGAACTAGGGATGAAACAAACCGTTATTCTCATTAGATATGTTTAAATAACTGATTGTTCCCGCTCTGAAATTTAAAGTTGTACTTAAAGGTGACTTTTCCCGTAAAATGTGTACTTTTTTAGCTGAGAGTTAGATGCGAAGATTGATATTACCCTCATATCTGTTTGTTGAATATGAAGCTACAGCTGGGAGGAGGAGGTTAGCTTAGCATCAAGACTGGAAACAAGAGGAAACAGCTGGTCTGGCTTTGAAGTCACTGCGGACAGCCAAGAAATAGGTCCAACACATAAAGTTGCGGTAATGTTTAAACAAAAGTAATTTGTAAGACGGGTTGCCTAACATATTGGAGATAAAAAGTGATCAAAGTTGTTTGGACACACGCATTGAGAGGGGGGTTGGATATTGTTTAAATACGCACTACTCAACAGTATGGAAGTCTTCATAGTGTTGCACTAAGTTGTTCACATGAAAAGTGAGAAGAGGAACTAAAGATTCGTGTGCAGTCTCACTCTTTCACCTCTGCACAGCTGGACGATCACGGCATGGAGTTCAGTGTGAATGTTGGAATTTCAGAAAGTTACTCTCCAATCTGATGTCGGAAAGCCGTGGGGGGAATTGGTTTCTGAAGCTTTTCATCCATACAATAATCACTTTCAATGAAGCATAATGGAAGCTTAACCACCCATGAAACCACAATTTGTCATTTTAATTTAGCTTTATTTTTAAAAGATAAAGAAATCAAGATTCAATTTACTGATTTGGTGAGCTTTAGAGTTGGACTCTAGTAAGCATTTCACTGAGCGAGGCTAGATGTATTCCAGACTTGGCTAAGCTAATAGTATCTGGACTGTAGCTTCAGATTGAACAGATCACATTGTCATATTGATTTTTCCCTTTTAACTCCTAGCAAGAAAGCAAATAAGCAGATTTCCCAAAATATAAAACGTGTCTTTTTAGCACATCAGTGCTTTAAGCAAGTATTTTACATGATTAATACTTAGCGACTTAGCATGCAAACATTTGTATTTAGCACTTATTACAAAGAACTGAGGTCGCCATCAGTTTTGAATGTATTTCATGATGAAAGTAGTGGGCAAAGTGCCTGTAGTGCAAAGTGCCCCTACAAGATCTACCAGACCAAATAGTTCCCAGTTGTAAATTATAAAAAAAAGCTTCTCTAACAAGTTCCCAGAACCAAATACACTTTCTTAAATTGCTTAATTTGATGAGCATGGAATAAAATACAGATTTTTAATTGTATTTGGAATGGAAAGCTATCCAAAACAGACATTTACAAATCTAACCATGTTCACCTGTTTTGTTCTATTAACTAAAGGGAAGGAGACCAACAAATACAACCAACAACAAGGTCATTATTATTATTTTTGACTTAATAAACTACTATAATCATAGATGCTGTGGTCAAAATCTGAATTTCAATTAGTAGACTATTAGGCATTAGTTTGGATAAAGTGTCAGTGAGAAAAAAGGGAGTGAATAGATAAGGAAATAGCTAAGTAAAGTGTGATTTGGGGAGTGCTTCCTTTAATAAAATGCACTGTTAAACTTGAATTCTTTGAAAAGCAACAAGGTTATTTCACGAGTTTGATAACTCTTCCAAAGCTCCGTTACACAACCTTGAGCCTAGTGTGTAGTCTGAGGCCATCCAGAAAATCAAGCCAAACAAGAAGAAAAAGTGAAATCCTGTCCTCTCACTGTGCCAGTCATGAGCTTGTGTGGTGCATTCAAACGGAGCTTTAAAAAAGCTTTTTGTGTTTCAGGAGGAGATGAACCGAGGGAAGCCCAACTGGGAGCACCTCAGCGAAGATCTCCACGTCCTGATCACAGTGGAGGACACACACAACCGGGCCAAGATCAAACTCCAGCGGGCTATCAACGAGGTCAAGAAACTTCTCGTGCCAGCTGTGAGTATCAGTGCGAACCCCTTCAGTGTCCCATATTATGGTCTGGACCGATGGAAAAGCTGCGTGTGACTAGATGAGAGTTCACTGTGTTGGTATGCATGGAAGGGGGAAGGGGATTGTCAGTCCAAAAACTTTGTGTGTTTGTGTCTTTTTTTTGTGTTTTTGTGTGTGTCTCTGTGTGTATGAGAGAGTATGTGTAAGGGGTTAGGGTAATTAGGGAACACGCATAAAGGGGTTTCCATAGTAACCCCGGGTTGTTTGAAAGGCTGCGGGAATGAATGGAGAGTCTGTTCACTTGTTCTCCCCACTCCATCACTCCTTTCACTCGTTCACAACTCACTTCATTCCCAACTACTGGCTACAGTATTCCTTTTTCTTCCTGTTTTTTTGTCATCCACACAAAAGGACATTTTGATTGCACTCCTCCACATTTCTCACATTCTACAGCCCACCTACGTCCCCCCTACGGACATACATGCAGAAACGTGATGACAAATAAGTAACGCATTGATTACATAGATGCAGGAACTGTCTTAGGAACTGCAGGAACTTATCCCGTTAGATGCATTAGCACAAAAGCTCATATTGCGAAAATCACAAGGCACCTTCCTTTTTTCCCCCTTTGCATTATTCACAACAATAGAAACTGAATGAATAGACCAGCAGGGGGATTTCTATTATAGTAATCAGCCGTCACTTCCGCTCTGGTCAGAACACGGGGTCGGCCAACTCCAGAAGTTAAAGGATGTAAGAAATATATGTGGGCAATCAGGAGCTGGACACCTGTTAATCTTTGTTAGTGACTGCGTGCGTGCGTGCGTGCGTGCGTGCGTGCGTGCGTGTGCGTGCGTGTGTGTGGTGTGTGTGTGTGTGTGTGTGTGTGTGTGTGTGTGTGTGTGTGTGTTGAGGGTATGGTTAATGATATGTGTTAATTTAACCCAGCCAACCTTGCTTTCCAACTGTAAATCAGTCAAGCTTTTCACCAAGCTGTAACTGGAGCTAGGAAGTTAAATATGTCCTGTGTGGTGAAGTCACTGTATTCAAGGACTGGTCAACTGCATTTCAGACAATGACATTTGTTTACATGCACACTAATGTTACACTATGGTTACGAACTTGATAGATATTCATGTTGCAAACAATCCAACTGACATACGGTTCAGAAGGCTGGGGTTGATGTACATGCTTCAAGAAAAACAGGTGGTCGGAAGGAAAACACACTTTGAAACATTATGAAAAAGCTTTTTATTTTACAAGCTTTTTGATTTGCACAAATAAAGCATTTTGGACCTGTTTAAGAAGGTAGTTTTCGGAACAAAAGAGAGAGGCTGTGTTCCCCCGGTCTAACAAATCTGCCACCGGTAGAACACTTTGAAATAATTGGAGTTGTGCATATCAACATTTGTCTGGGAATATTATGGAGATATCCTTCTTTTTACTGTTTTATTCAATCATATTAGAGTAAATATATTTTGGTTTTGGGCTAAAAAATAAAAGAATAAAGACATCATCTCAGAATTTGAGAAACTGTGATGGACATTTTAAATTTGTTCTGATATATCATAGCCCTAACCAGATTTGATAAAGAAAATCATGTAAACAGTAAATCATGTAAATCATGTAAACAGTAAATCATGTAAACAGCCTTGTAGGAATATTGTTTTTGATTTTTCTAGGGCAAAACCTGAAATATTTTGTGCATGTTGTGTTAATATAATAGAAGGCTAGTGCAAACACAACTACGTCTTCCCCCTGACTTCATTATTTGTTCCTGCATAGTGTAACATTTGCTGACTTTTTGACTCCCACAAAAGGGAATGAATTCACTCGTCAAATGACTGAATGACTGTCCTTGTTAAGTAAGCTGATTGTGCTGTTCTGCTCTGGTGTAGGCTGAGGGGGAGGACAACCTGAAGAAAATGCAGTTGATGGAGCTGGCCATTCTCAATGGGACCTACAGAGACGCCAATGTCAAGATGTGTAAGGATGACATCATGGTTAACTTGTGGAGGAGGGTTGGTGGGTCTGGGTACAGGAGTCCACTGTACATATGAACAATGCCTTTGTTTTTCCTGGTAAATAGACTGTTTGTCTTCTCCTCTTCTTCCCTGTCTATTGTTTGTGTGTGGGTGTGTGCATACTTGCATTATTGCAAATTTGTGTGCTGCACAGCCTGCGCTGGCTTCCCTATGGGGACACCTCAGGCGCCTCGGCTCATCACAGGTCCGACGTCGTGCCTGCCTCCCTCAATGCGCAACTCCGCCCAACTCCCCACGCAGACCATGTTGCCTCTGATTCGTCAGATCCAGAGTTCCGCCCTCATGCAGGGAGCCAATCCACACCAGGCGCTGGTGCAGCAAGGGCCTGAATCTGGAATCATCTACGCGCCCTACGACTATCCCTACACACTTACGCCATCCATATTGGAATACCCGATTGACTCAACTGGAGTTTTAGGTACTTAGAAAGAAAAAGTTCATAATTTCATATAGAGTCAATGGATGTATTATGAGAACTGGATACTGGCCTTCAATGGAAATTGCTTACCAATCGCATACGTCAACAACAACAAAACTAAAACCTAGGACACCAATTATTCGACCGAACATCAAGCAATATTTGCATTATTGATGGTGGCTAATTGTTGTTTGAGTTATTTACAGTCAGAGTTGGATAACTGAAAACATGGTATTCAACAAGCTATTTCAATTTGGTCCCGTTCTATGACAAATGCAGGCTCATTATTAAATACCGCCCCACATCTGAGTATCTCCACTTGAGGCTTGAGAACTACCTTTGCATTTTAAAGCATGTCATTCAGAGCATCGCTAACATCAAAGCATGTAAACATGTTCTGGTAAATCCAAAAATACATGTATGAACCGGAACATTTGCATGCTATATTATGGCATCAATGCTAAAAAAGGGCATCTTCAATTCAACCCATTATCTTTGAAAGTGGGTTTTATTTGACTTACACCAACAGTGAAGAACGAGCTGTTTCATTAATGTAGATGATTTAAAGAATTTGCAAAGTTAGTTAAATATCAACCTTTTTTGAGGTTAGAGTAAGAGCCACGGAAAATGTGTCCGTACGTCCCTAAATGCACAAAATAGTTTCTTACTTCTGAAGTAGCGAACCTCGAGCGAAGACCAAAGTTTTAAGAATCTTGACAGCCGTGATATTTTCAGATTTTGTACCATGGTTTGCAACTGGTACAATTTGGAGGCCAAATCCAGCTCTTGTAATACATCCGGGTAAAATGTATAAATGTATACTGAAGCTAATTGTTGGGCTAACAGTCCCTTCTTCCTGTGTTTTCGCAGGTATGGCTTTCCCAACCAAAGGCTAGGGTGATAGCAACCCTTCCTAGCACACTCAAGGACTGGCTTGCAGAGACCCCTCCCCCCTCCCTACATACTTGTCCCACATAGCAAACACTCAAAGTTTGCTCATACTTTAGGATGACAGACAGTCATTCTGTAGTCAAGTGTCCATTCCTGTTAATTTCCTCTTTGTATTAGCAGACTAGTGTTGTGGTTTGACAGCTATTTAACTTTTTTTAATAGTTCAGCTTCCGCTTGTAATTTTAACACATTTTAGTGAACTCATAGATATTTTAGCGCCGCTGTTTGTGATTTAATATAACCTTATTTTAATCACAGAGCTATAGAGTGACTTTGCTTACAGCTGATGTTGAATCTACTAGTGAAGCTTAGTGAGAAATTAGTGGTTTGGATTAATATTTTCTTTAGAGAACAGAAGACCACAAAACAACAAGAATTCTGTGTCTCAGAGAAGCAAGATGTTTTCGTTCTTTTTTACTTATTTTTCGCCCTCAGCCTTGAACACTTTGTAAATTCCTGGTTTCACTGATGTTGGTGCCATGGGTGGACTGTTTGATGTCTTTCTGATGAGTAACCTTCTGTGTTCTGTTTTGGCGATGTCAATGGCTGTTAGCAGGTGCCATGACCACTAAGGTACGACGCCACGACAAGAGAATCCATCCTTACCAAAGGGTAGTGACCCCAGACAGAGGTTAGTTAGCTCACCAGCCACTTTATGTGTATGTGTGTGTGTGTGCGTGCATGCGGACCAATGGACCAATTTCAGTTTACACTTGTTTGTAGAACCGCATGCCTAAAGTAAAGAAAATAAATATCAAGCGCAAAGGGTCACACGCTGAAGCAGCTTCAGTGTAAAATGTGAAACGTTTTTGTTGCAGTGAAGTGAAATAAGCGAGTAGATTTGGGAGGAACTATGTGAGGGGTGACAGCTGTGGCGTTATCTTCACTCACCCTGGTAGATAAACTGGACGGCTTGCAGGCCGGGACCCTCTCAATTATAATGGATCGCTCCGTTCATGTGACTCAGTCCTTGTGACTATGGAGTCCTCTCTCAGAATTTTTTCGTTGTTGATGTTTTTATCTCTTCAGTACTATTTTTAAACCCTGCAAATAACTGTGGGAAGTTTTATTTATACCCAATTTCATTCCAGTAGATTGCCACAAATGTTTTTATTATTATTAATTAAATCCTGTGTTGTGCCCAATGACTATATGACACTTAAAGTAACAGTGATTGTCTTTTTTTCTGAAGGTCATCCAATTCAATATGATCTTTGGTCTTAACTACTAAAACACAGCGTGTGATAACTACTGAGGTCTGTGTTACAAGCTCTTTTGTATAAAATACTGTTTTTTGTGGTCTTATCAGTCGCCCACTGGACTTGATCATTGGGGCTGTTTACATCTTTCATATATTTCCTAGCCAGAGTGGTGCTGTTACCATGTATTTAGCTGCAAAATAAATTTGTATATAGGGATTTTAAGGATTTAAGTGCTTATATGAAGCTTATCGAACAAGATCGCTTTGGAAATAGTATTTTTCTTTTCTTTCTTTTTTTTAGTTTGTATATTTTTATTTTTGTTTCTACGATATGCTTTTTATAGATGAAGTGTCTCCATGTAAACTTCAAACTTTTATTCAAGGTGTGTAGCTACTACTGTTTTAGTCACCTCGAAAGGTGGCAATGAAGGCAGTGTTTTGCTCTGTCTATTTAAGACGAGGTGGCCTTCTCAATTCACAGGCCTCTTGACTGTTTTATGCAATAGAAAATGGACTAGCTAGCTACGATATATGTGTGTGTGTGTGTGTGTGTGTGAGAGCGGTGGTGCTCTTGTTGTACATGATGGACAAAAAACACTAAAAGGCAATAAAGATGACTATTGAAAAAAAAATCTCTAAACAAAACCAAAGCCTCTAAATTCTTGTAGCTAGTCTGTCTACTGTTAAATTGTTTCTAAATACCCTCTTAAATCACCATCTCTTAACCTCTCATCACTATCTCTTTTGGTGCCTTTTTGCTTACTGTAGTCATTACGTGCTCTTCTAATACTTCATAGCAAATTGATCAAACCATAATCACAACTTTTACACACAGATTTTACGCCTGCTGCTCAACAATAGCTCTACTTGTCAGTAAGCGACAGTATTTCTGAGGCCCAGACACTTTTCTTGGACATAAAGGTCACTCTCTCACCCACATGAAACCATGCCGTCTCCCTCTCTGTCCATGGTTTCACTGTCTGTCGAGTAGTATCACTATAGCAGCGGTCCCACAGCAGGAGGGGCATCTCCTAAAACGTAACCCTGCTAACACCTTCATGAGCACACGTGAGCATCGCTAACCAGCCATTCCTCGTGTCACCACCCGTGGTTGATGTGAGTCCTTCTGAATGGTCATGCAGGGCTCATGAAGGTGTTGCGCAGCTCCTCCTGTAGCGCCCCTCATGCTGTGAGACTGTAGTAGATCTGCCTTGTTGTCATCCTGACGCCACTAGCTGACACTAATCTCTCTTCTATCTTTTTTTCTTTTTATGTCCCCTTTTATGTGCCCTTTTTGTTTCCTTTCCACGTCTGTCCGTCTGTGTCTGTCTAACTCTAGCTGCCACGGCAACTAACCCATGACCCCTTGACCTTCTGACCTTTCCGCCCACTGATGACCCACCCATCTCCGCCTGCTGGCGTGCTCATTGGCCCACGGCCCCGTCACTCCCCAAGCTCAGCCAACCAGACCAGCACATTGGGAACAACCCGTCTGCTTCTGTCTAATCAGCCAACCAGACGACAGCGATCATGGGAATAAACCTCAGGACCCCGCCCACCACCAAGTCCTAACCCAAACTTTACCAAACGTGCCTTCCTTCCCAAAGTCCAAAGCCAGTCGGAGAATGTTTTATAACCAGTCGAAATCCCAATCTGTAACAGCTGCTGCCATGCATAACAAGTAGACTTTACTGGGGATGGGCTCCTAAACCCAGCTGCCCTGCCCACAGCCCATGTGATGCAATAATAATGACTCTATTAATATCATGGTAACTATACTGATGATAATGGTACTTATCCAGCACAGAAACCCTCCACAACACTAAAACAAAGAAGGATATGTTGGTATTCACAAGCTTCTTTTCTCCTCTTATTTAAAGGAAAATCGACCAAATGATCATTTGTATATTAAATTCTCACCCCATGAGACATATATCTGCGAAGAAAACGTAGTTTTTATCGCACGACTACATGGTGAACAAAGAATCGAAAAACTGTTGATAATTTAAAAATTGTCTTAATGTTTTGATTCTCTTTTCACCGTGGTGGAATGCAGTAAGACAAAGTTTTCCTCAAGAATTCAAGGGGAAAACTGGGTGAGTATTTGACATGCTACTGGCAATTTTGAGTGGAAGAACTAATTATTGTTTTCCGCACACTTTTTAAAGGGAATAATGAGATACATTAATTGTTTACAGATTATAATTGGCTTTTACATGTTGATATGTATACACACTTTCTCTTGAGTGGTAAAACAAACAATGTATTTAAATTGTTACTTTTCTTCTCGTATTATTTTGTGCGTTAATTCCTTAAAAGATGAGTGATTTTAAATGTTTCCTTTGGAAAATAAGACAAAAAAGCCATCGCTAAAGTAAGGTAAACATTTTCAAGGTAAAAAAAACCTGTGATCAGAGAAGGAATCCAAAATGCCAAAGTATCTTTTTGAGCTTTTTCTAAATAAGTAAATAATCTCAATACTGACTCAACATATGCAGTATAAATGCAATGTCTGTACTACAGTACGGACACACACACAGAGGGAAGGTTGCACTTCTTATTTCTAAACAGAGGACTTACACAGCGATGCCTTTTTCACACTACAGTATTGTACGAGCTTGAACAACAGTACCTTTATTTATTTGAGAGCCATGGAACAATGTTACACCTAAATCTTTCCCTGCATTGTGGGTTTGTGCCCAGCATGAAATTCTGTCCTTTGGGTTTATGCTGATTATTTGTCATTATCTACATTTTATGGCCCACATCCTCTTCTCAATTCAGATGTTAGTGCCAAAAAAAGTGGCTCATTTGAATCGGAAGTGCAATGCGGTATTGAAGCAGCAGCTACGATGTTTGAAATGTTTATGTGTGAGGTTTGGATACCTCCGGAGAGCAGTGTTATATTCTATGTTTTTGTTTGTTTGTGTTTTTGATTGTTTTTGTCCATATTTCAGCATGTGTATCCACTTTTTCAGAAGGTGTGCTACGGTTACACACACGCAAACCAACTGATGCCTTGACATACAAAAAAAAGAAGAAATCATGGAGCCGTAACATTTGTAACAAGTTTATAATGTATTTTTATATTCTATTTTGTACGTGAGCATAACATTAAATGACCTTTTCAGATACAAAACATCATGCCTTATTACGGAGAGTAATTTGATGAATTTAACGATCCTTCATGTGTCAATATTAGTAACCAATGTCCTAATATACTGGAATCTCTGATGTCCTCTGTACGATGAGCCTTTGAGATCCTTACTTGCCTTCTGTGCCTTTTGTAGACTATAAGTGTGACATTAACAGTGTAGAACAACATTAATCTACTCTTCAGTGACAAGTGTAGGTTACTAACTGTTACCACTTCTGTGACTATTAACCACTTTAATGGTATCTGTGTCTGCTTTGGAGTCCTTTACAAAGAAAACACGTGTGTCTAAAAAAATTGAAAGATATGTGTTGAACTTTTAACTTTGAAAGTGAGCAGGAATAACTCTTTGTACACTATTAAACTCATAGTTGTTAAACTAACACACTTTGTTGCTTTTTCTCTGTAGCTCTTAATTATGCAAATCAGCTTCCTTTCTGCATACTAATCACCAAACACTCCTTAGATACCGCGGAGGGGGGAAGAGAAACTGGCAGATACTTGAGACAAAATGCAGGGAAAAGGCCACAACATGTTTTTCCCACTTCTCCTTTTCTGTGCTCCTTCTCTTGTTCTCCTCCTGCTATTTAAGTAGACATTACACACATGGATGTCTGTAATAAGAGAGAACAAAACACACCCAGCTCACCATGGTTTCTCTGAGGCATGCACATGTATAACAGAAAAGGAGACGGGGAAAGGGGGGGGCTCAGGTTTGGAGGATGGCTGGGGAATTAAGGGGAAATTGATTGTGCAAGCTCGCCCTCAAACATCTGCAGAGTAAATATAACACGGGATCATAGTCTGTCCCCAATGTCTCTGGAATGTCTCATGGTAGCTAGATTTGTTTCAATTAGGCTCTTCTTTGTCTCTCTCCTTGGGTGTAATTATTAAAAATCAAACCCTAAAGAGGGTCATTTGAAAAAAAAGGGGGAGGGCAGTGGGAGCCTTTGACGCTTGAAGTTCCCTTTAAACTGCACATTTAAGGTTTCACACGCCAGAAGAAGGGGAAAAAAGGTTTCCGTGGTGAATGCAGCAGTGGGTGGCTCATTCGTCCTCTTCCTGCCCTTCCTGCCTTCATTGTGGAGTTGAGGGGTGATATTGAACTTCAGGCTTGGACTTGAGCCTGCATGCTCAGTGGCCGATCACAGACAGAGAGAGAGAGGGGGAGAAAGAGAGAGGGGGAGAGAAAGGACATAATGTGACCGCTGCTGACAATCTGGACAGGAAGAAGCGGAGTGAGAGATAGCGAGTGGGAGAAAGTACAAGAATACACTGTGTGGATATCAATGGGTGGGGGTGCATGAGTGTTTGGATGGATGGGTGTGCACTCTTCTGTTTTTCCTGTTTTCATTCAAGTTTTTTTAAGAGTCTAAAACACTCTTCCAGCATCTGCTAATGTATTCTGCAGTCAGCTCTTCTCCACTGCCAACACTGGGGCCCACAGAGCTCCCAGCGCTTACAATCAATGTGTGAGAGTGTGTGTGTGTGTGTGTGTGTGTGTGTGTGTGTGTGTGTGTGTGGGTGTGTGAGAGAGAGAGAGTGTGTGTGTGTGTGTGTGTGTGTGTGTGTGTGTGTGTGTGTGTGTGTGTGTGTGAGTGAGATAAAGAGAGAAAGTGTGAGGAAAAGACAGGTTGATTTACATTACTATGTATACACAGAATTCTCTACATAATGAGCAGCTCTAGATTCTCCCTGCTTGGTAAATATTTGATAGCGGAGTGGCGGAATGATTTTCGAGCTGAAGAATGAGAATCCTATAAGCAGCTCAGAAGTTGTATTTCAAACCTTTCTCTCTCTCTCCCTCTCTTGCCCTCTTCCCATGTAAATAAGGCCAACTCCCCCTAACTCCACACACCCCTCTGAGGCAGTTTAAAGACCCAACACTGTCTCCTTGTCTCCTTGACAACCAGCATACACTGGGGTCCTGTCGTGGCCTCTCTGTCTTTTGTGTTTGGGAGCTCAGAGAGACAGAAAGAAAGAGAAAGAAAGTGTGAGAGAGAGGAAAAGAGGAAGCAAAAGAAGGCCGGAAGAAAAAAAGACGACATAGATGACATCACAGCTAGTTTATCCCACAACTGAACATGTTGGTATGTAGCCCGACGGTGATGATAATGATAATAATGATGATTATTAGCCAGAGGCACAAAATGGGTGGCAATGGCTTAGTTTGAGAGTGTGTGATCTGAGAGAGAGAGATAGAGAGAGAGAGAGAGAGAGAGAGAGAGAGAGAGAGAGAGGCCCAGGGCTGAATGGAGCATTGTGGGAAAAGACAGTGGGCACACTGGGCAGTAACACCGAGAACACTAACTCACAGATCATGCCAGAGAGTCTGAAAACACCCACACTGGGCGACAATGGCAAACTTCATCGCTCCAGTTGGCCCCGTCTGAATACACACATACAATGGCAGAATCCAAATAAGATGCTCTGTTATTCGTGAAATTCAGCACACTAAATTCCTTCAGTGCCTCTGTCCCTTTGACCAGCAGCAGATGGCCCGGGACCGCGCCGCATTGATGTGCACGTACGTGTGCATGTGTGGTCTTGTTTCCTACTGTTGCATCATGTGTGAGAATGCTGTACATTTGAAATGTGGGAAATCAATATTTAAAGGTCTAACAGGTGTCATTTTTGTTGAGATCTACTGCTTTACTTCTAATAATGCAAAAAAGACCAGCAAATACGCTTGTATGTAAGGGAAGGAGAAACACATTTCACTAAATCAGTCGATTAAATCAGGTCTAATTAGAGAAAGGGCAGACTAAATGGTACCAGAATCAACAGGTTTGTCCATCAATGGCTGGTTTTACTAGCAGCTGTCTGCTGCCACCCTGTGGAGATTTGCAGCTCTAAACCAAGATCGACGAAAGAATGAAATGTATTTGGTGAGCAGCAAAAAACAAAGAGGAAACGATTAGTCGTTTAACAGATAATTGATGTTGAGTACTTTTAGCATTTACATTTTTTCCATTAAAAGTCAAAATAACCAATAATAAAATGAGTCATCCATTCTCATTCCATAATAATGTTTATTATATTATTGAATTATGTTATGGTGAGTGAAGCAAGCAGGACCCAAATGCAGATAACACTGATATCACCTTTATTTCAAGGATAATAATATAACTCGGACAAACAGAACACTCCCTGGTGAACTCAGTCACCAACAAAAGACGAACCAACACTGAACACAGGAAGAGACAAGACTAAATACAGGGAGGGGTAATCACGAGACGAGAAACAGCCGTGCAGGGGAGGAGAAACACAAGGGCAACAGGTGAACACAATCAGACCATTAGACACACCAGGGAAACTAACGACAGGGAGGAAAAACACAGAGAGAGGGACCAGACAATACACAAGGAGGAAAGGGAGAACCGAACAGCAAAATAAACCCAAATCTAGACATACAAAACTAAAAACGTGACATAACATAAGAATCGTGACAAATTATAACCAGGGCCGGTTTTTGGCATAGGCGACATAGCTGGTCGCCTAGGGCGCCAGATCTGGGGGCGCGCTGCGCTGATGGGCGCTGTAAGTGATGAAAGTTGGGGATGTTGGCTTATCTGGCGCCCGCAGCTCACAGCCAAAGTGCGAGTGAGCGTGGGTGCGAGGTACAAATGATGCACCCCCGTCGTGAAATGCACCCCATGGCCTGCCGTAAAAAGCACCCCCCAAAAAAATATTCTTCTATTAATCCCACCCTCAAGCACTTTGGAGGGTATAGTTGTAGGACTACCAATAAATGGGGCAAGTTTCGTGTCACACGTTTATTGTCAGAGATGGCAGTCTGGTTTCAAGGCAGGTCACTCAACCGAAACTGCTCTCCTCGCTGTCTCTGAGGAACTGCACACTGCTAAAGCAGCCTCCCTCTCTTCTGTCATCATCCTTTTGGACCTGTCTGCTGCATTCGACACGGTGAATCATCAGATTCTCCTTCACACTCTCCAATAATTTGGAGTTTCAGGCTCTGCACTTTCCCTCCTCACCTCATACCTCAAAGACCGCACCTACAGGTTAACTTGGAGAGGGTCCGAGTCTGACCCTTGTCAATTAACTACAGGGGTCCCTCAGGGCTTTGTTCTTGGTCCCCTCCTCTTCTCTTTGTACACAAACTCGATCGGATCAGTCATTAGCCCGTGTGGTTTTTCATACCACTGCTACGCTGACGACACCCAATTAATTCTGTCCTTTCCCCGCTCAGAGACCCAGGTCGTCGCACACATCTCTGCTTGTCTAGTAGACATCTCTCAGTGGATGTCTGCTCACCACCTCAAGCTCAACTTTGACAAGACTGAACTGCTTTTCCTTCCGGGAAAAGATTGTCCCACTCTTGACCTAACAATCAACATCGGCACCTCTACTGTTTCCCCGACTCAGACTGCAAGGAATCTGGGTGTGACCCTAGATAACAAACTGTCCTTCACTGCAAACATCGCTGCTACAACCCGCTGCTGCAGAAACACTCTTTACAACATCAGGAGGATACGTCCCCTCCTGACCCAGAAAGGAGACGCAACTTCTGGTCCAGGCTCTCGTCATCTCACGCCTAGACTACTGCAACTCCCTCCTGGCTGGTCTACCTGCATGTGCCATCCGACCTCTGCAGCTCATCCAGAATGCAGCGGCTCGTCTGGTCTTCAACCTTCCAACATTTTCCCACACCACACTGCTCCTCCGCTCCCTTCACTGGCTTCCAGTAACTGCTAAAATCCACGTCAAGACACTGGTACTTGCGTACCATGCTGCGAATGGATCTGGCCCTTCCTACATCCAGGACATGGTCAAACCATACACCCCAGCACGTGCAATCTGCTCTGCATCAGCCAAACGGCTTGCTGCACCCGCACTGTGAGAGGGACCCAAGTTCCCATCAGCAATCCTGGCTCCAAAATGGTGGAATGAGCTCCCCATTGACATCAGGACAGCAGAAAGCCTACACATCTTCCGGCGCAGACTAAAAACTCATCTCTTTTGACAAAACTTTGAGCGATAGAATTACTAACAAAGCACTTATATACTAACAAAGGACTGGCTGATCTAAAGCCAGTTAAGTAGCACTTAAAATGTTTTGGCTCTATGAAACCTGATGTACTTATATGATTCTGTTTTCTTCAAGTTTTTAGCTTCTTGGTCGAATGCACTTATTGTAAGTCGCTTTGGATAAAAGCTTCAGCTAAATGCAATGTAAGGTA